GCCTGAATTTTCTACAACATTCTTGATCTGCGTACTTGTTGCAGGTCATGAAAATATTTTAGGCAGAGGGTAAGTTCCTAGCTGGGTAATTTGGATCTTTAGAAGGAGGTCATAAATGGCAGCTTTCATTTTCAAAGTTTTCAATGTCCACTTATTTGTTAGACCACCATTCCCCCTTGTAAAAATACTAATTTAAACAGTACAAAAACACACTTTAGAAGAAATTTGAAAAATATTACTACCTTACACCCCATGGTGGCAGAGCAAGGGAAACCTCACAGACTTCCCAGAGAGATCTTGGGAAAGCTAAGGATTCCAAATCTCACAAGTTGCTCCTGCACTGTGTTGGAGTGTCTTTTTACATTTGGAAAGACAGCCACAGAGCAATGGAGACACAGAGGGCATTAAAGCCTATTAACCTAACCCTTCTCTACTCAATCTGAATAAAAAAAGCTTTGATTGGAGCTGCTATTTAAAGCTCTCCTTCTCACCCAGAAAGACAAACATACAGATTGCAATGCTGGATCAATGGTTCACCCACCAAAAGTGATGTAGGCAAGGGTCATGAACGTTTGAGTTAGGCGAGTATAAAAAAAAAGCTTCAAAAGGTATTTTTCTGTAACAAGTGGTAACTGGGTGAGAAGGAGTTACGGAAGGAGGAAAGGGCTTTGCCTGGAGATGGGCTTAAAGTACATACTAGAGACTAGTCTGAGTAACCAAAGGCCCAATGGATCTTGTGGAGCTACAAGTCTCAAAAACACCTTACAGTTGCTGTAGCCACCACAGCACAACATCTGCAGTTCTGCAAGTTGTCTTGGTCTAGACAGCAGGGAAAGGGTCGGAACACCATATAAACACATGTAATTAATTGACAGGGCTTTCTCTGCTCCGGGGTGCAATCGGAGTTTGTCCATGCTGCTGAAATTACACAATCAATGAAGCATCTCTTTGAAACTCCCTTGACTAGCGCCGACACGCAGGCAGTAGTCAAGCCGCGTTTTCTCTCGCTCTCTTCAGTTTCCGTTATTATGGCTGAGACTTTCTATGAAGCTCAGACATCAAAACAAGGTGTCTTGCTTCAAGCGAAACAAAACAGAGGTGAAGGCAGAGGCTCAGATGAGCGAAATGTGTTTTCTGCACACATTACAAAAAAAGCAAAAAGGTCATTCTGTTCTACAAACAAGGATCAGCTGAACTGTGATCCATGGCATTGTTAAAAAGTCATAAGACTAAACCCTTCAGAAGTCTATCACAGACCTTTTTGGTACTCCAGCCTGTAAGACAAAACTTAGCCTATTACGTCCAACATTGGAGAGTCTCACCAACATTAGCCATCCTAGCCTGAAAATGACATCCCCCGTTTACAAAGATAAAATGTATAAGGACACATACATTATAAAGTATGGAAAATGAATGATATGAAGAGAAAAATTAACCACCAGAATCTTTGAGTGTGTGGGATATAGTCTAACAATCTTTCACAATCATGCTAAATATATTTTTTTCTAACTATGTGGGCAGGCATTGCGTAATGTTGTACTGCATAATCAGCCCACAGGAAAAACCTTTATGACCACGTTTTATAAAGGGCAACATGCAAGTGCCATGAAAATAAATGCAGTTTGGGTACTTAAACCAAGGGCCATCTCTATTTCAGAGCCAGATCATCCAGAAGGCAGTCCAGGGCTTAGTAGATGTTCAGGGGGGGCAGCTACAACTATCATGTTTATACAGTAAATTAGGGGAACAGCACAATTAGTCAAAGCTGTGCAACTGCATGTCACTTTACAAGGTAAGATGTACTTGCAAGCAGTGGTCTGGAAGAGCATTAGCTGTTATAGGGGTGACAAGTGTCACCTTGTCACACTTGTTGGAGACTACAAGCAGCTAGGCTGATGCACATTGGCTCATCATTGTCACCATTAGGTAGTTAGTCCAGAGCAATACTGTAACCACTGCATGTGCATGGGAAGGTCTACAAGATACTGGAGGAGATCAGCAGCACTGCAATGGAAGAGAAGATAAAAAAAAAAGTGAAACCAGTAAAATGCTCCCCAATTTTTGAACCTACACCCCCCTATTCTTACTGCTAAATTTGTCCTTTTTTAAGGTTGGATGTGCAGATCCACAAAAAATGTACTGTTTTACAATCAAAATACCGATACTTTTTCTTTTCTTTTTTTCATCAGCAGGTGCTCGTAGTATCCCTTTTATGGTGCTATGCACAATAAACACTAATGGGCTATTTATTGTTTTACTTTGAAACTATTGTTGGAATGGTACAAGAAAATGTTCTTTACTCAAAACAAAACTCTAAGCTAATTTAAGTACAGTCCCAACCTATGTATGCAAATAGCAGTAAGTAAGAAAAGAATGTTTCTAAGTCTCGAAATGAGGTCACTCTAGTGTCATGTATTGCAGGACCTTTACCTTCTGGTATTGCATTTGACATTCATGTCCCTCCCAGAACTCTGTGCCAACCCACACAACATCTGAGGAGGTGGGCACTCCTTACCTCCAGGAACTGATCTCTGGGTTTACATGAAGTCAATATATTTTTAAAGAGACCCTGTCACCAACCTGAGAAATTGTTGGTAAAAACACAGGAAAATCTAGTATTTTAAATGTTTACCTGCAGCATTTCAAATTAGGTGTAAGCAGACTGAGCAGGCTATGCATCTTCTCCAAAGACATAGTACAGTGTGCATTGCTCCCTCAGACCTGGTTTATACATGAGTCTCCCTCTGCAAGGTGATCCGTGGTGGATCACTTTTCAGAGGATGTTTGACAGATGGTGAGATGTTAGTTTGCCTCCTCACTGCCTGTTTTAATTGATAAAAGCCCACAGCACTGCAACTGTGGGCATTGCACACAATTGCAGGGTGGATGCTGTGCAGCGCCATGCATTTGAATGGGTCACATTCAGTGGGTGGTACTGTCTGATAAATATGAAAGGGGGATTAATTTTTACTATGACTTAATGCAAAGCATCACAGCCATGGTACTTATATACTACTGTATGGCTGAATTGCAGGCTAGAGGGGGCAGACCAAAAAGACCAATGTCACAACACACAGTACAAATTCAGCATCTTTGTTCTGAAGGATTGAATACTGGGTTGGAAAAAGGAGAAGGGCATTGAGAAGTTTACTACAATGGTAGTAAGGATACAAAATGGACTACAAATTCAATAATGGTGACACCTCTTGCCTTGAGTTCTACATTAAGAATTTTGATGACAAAAGGTACTCCTGCTTCCAAATCCAAAAAGATGGTGCATAATCTGCAGGCCAGCCATAAACGGATCATCTTCTGTCCAATCCAACAAAAAGACAATCATAAAAATCTTAACAGCATTCAAAAGGCCTGATTTCTGAAAATCTGATTCTGCAGACAACTGAACACCGTTTTTTGTGCATATGTACTAGAAGATTTTTACACAGTTCCATAATATGCGATTGATCATGCTGATTACATCTTCTGATATTGATGATGCACAGAGACATTAATTGAGCATAATGTATAGCCTAGATTTTTTAATGATTTCAGATTGGACAATATGTCATAAGGTCAATAGCCAGCCTTAAGCTGATGTCAGATGGACAATTCTGCCACTAGTAATCACCAGAAGCAGGATAGCTAAAGAGTCTGCATGTCTGTCCCTATGGATTGCTTCCTCTGTAGACAAATGCAGTGAGAAGACTCTCCCTTTCTTGCCTGAATGCTACCGAATTTTGCTAGCGATGGGAGTGAAATCTAACTGCCCCAGTTACATAGGGAGCAGTTTCATAAGGACAGGCAGCTTCTTAGTGATCCTGCCACTGGCCACTGGCAATTTCCTAATAGCAGGAGAATTGCCCATTTGACATAAACATTACATTGGCCACAAATTAGTAGAATTTCCAATATTCACACAGAAATTCAGAAAAATTGTCCATCAAAGCATTCGATAATACCTTTATGGAGTCAACAAATGTCATATGAAAACCCTGAAAAAGCTTGTTCGATTACCATGTCAATGTTTTGAATTTTAAATTTGATTTGTGATGCACATTACAAAAAGTAAAAAAACTGCCATCACAGTTAGAATTTCATTTGAGAAAAAAATGTCATCCTTCTCCTTTAATTTTCCTTGTCACTACAATCAAAAACCATCACTGATTTAAATAAAACAAACTTAAAAAAAACATTTTTTAAAAACAAAATTGTAGTGATGTATGACCAGCCTTAAGGCCTTAAATTTTGCTGAAATGGCCTTCACTGGTAACCATCCAATGCAATATCTGTCTGTCTATATCCAGGTAGCCTATTTCCCCTTGCAGATGAGATAAAAGCAACAGAGCTTGCAAGTGGTTTTTCTTGTGCACAACATATCAGATCTTTCCAGATTAGGGTAAGCAATATGAGTCATCCCATTGCTTATGTACATTTTCCTTTCTTTGAATATACATGATGCACAGAGCATAAAAGGAGTTTGGCTGTAAAATTAAATGAATCTTTTCCATCATTACTTTCACTGGAGAACAAAAGGGGAAGTCCCCATGAGAACTCAAAACCAAATTCTCTGCACCCACCCTACCTAGAAATATACTTTAGGGAATTACACATCTTTATGAAAATGTTTACATGCAAATTTAATATACAAATATTCTTATCAATGTTAAAGTAGGTGTAGACCCTATCCTTTAGGACCTGTTCACACTATGTGTGGTAACTGGGTTTTTTTTTCCGCACTTGACCGACTGTTGTTTACTACGTGCCCTGTTCACAATGCAACGCTGCCTTCAGATGGGTTCTCGTAAGACAGAATACAACTTCAGAAGTGATGTAATGTATTGTATTGTAATGTATTCTTTTGTTTCCAAAAAATAATACATTAAAAGAATTGAATTACAATGTATATGCACCAGGAAGACATTAAAGTGTTACTAAACCCAAGACCCTGCATTCATGATATATCTGGCCTCCCACAGTACACAGAACATGCAAATGCATTTATTTTAGTAAATATAAACTGCTAAATACCTTTTCTCATCAGCAGTTAGAGCAGTCTTGTGACTTCTATCAATGTTCAGCAGAGCACTGGTTAAAGCTTGTAGGAGGAGTTTTCTTTCTGCTCTAGGAGGATGCATAACCCCTGACCTCTGTCTGGACAGTGCTGATTGGACCTGTGCTGATCATATGCACTCTCACACGAAAAAAAAAAACACCTCTCTAGCAATACACTAAACAAAGCATGTGCAGAAGGGCTATGGGTTCAGTCTGTCTTATCAGCTTGGACATTTGAACAAGAGGAGGGCAGAGAAGACAGGATCAAACAGCCTTTTTACACAATGCAGAGGATTAACTCCTTAGGTTCCACAGTGAGTATAACAAGCATACTTTACTGCATATACAGACTGATTGTACTGTTGTGGGTTTAGTAACACTTTAAGCCACCATGCACTTTTTGCTGCAATTACATGGTGACTTATGCAGGCCATAGATGGGGAGAAAAAAACGGCAGATTTTTCTTTTAAAAAACGAAAATTCGGTCGTTCAAGCGGCCGACGTTACCATCAATGGTAAAAAAAATCGGCCGATTTTCATCCCTTCTACAGCTGGCAAAAAGTGTCCCTGCAGAGAGCTCCGCTATTTCTGACAGTTCTCTGACAGTTCCTTCACATTTACAGCGGTTGAAACATTGTATCTATTTGTTTCCATTTAGGATACAGATGTTTTTATTCGGAAACAAATAGATACAATGTTTCAACCGCTGTAAATGTCAAAGAACTGTCAGAGAACTGTCAGAAATAGCGGAGCTCTCTGCAGAGATACTTTTTGCTGGACTGGAATTCTTCTTATTTTCATCCTACTTCCTCTTCTTCTTCTTCATCCTCATCCTCTTCTTTTCCTCATCCTCTTCTTCTTCTTCATCCTCATCCTCTTCTTCTTCATCCTCATCCTCTTCTCATCCTCATCCTCTTCTTCTTCATCCTCATCCTCTTCTTCATCCTCATCCTCTTCTTCATCCTCATCCTCATCCTCTTCATCCTCATCTCTTCTTCTTTCCTCATCCTCTTCTTCATCCTCATCTTCTTCCTCTCTCATCCTCTTCATCCTCATCCTCTTCTTCTTCTTCCTCATCCTCTTCTTCATCCTCATCTTCTTCCTCTTCTTCATCCTCTTTTTCATCCTCTTCTTCATCCTCTTCCTCTTCTTCCTCTTCTTCTTTTTCTTCTTTTTGTCTTCCTCTTGCAGGTCACTGCTCATGCGCAGATTTTTTATCGGTAAAAAATCGGCCGATTGGCCCATTAATGCCGCGAAAATCGGCCGATCGGCTGATTTTTTTCCAACTTTACCAAAAAAAAAAAAACGGCCAAAATCCCGAAAAACGGCCGACCAAATCGCCCACTAACGATCCGAAAATCAGCCGATTTTATTTTCGGCCGACAAATCGGCCGATTTTCGACCCATCTATGGCCTGCATTAATGTCTTCCTGGTGCATATACATTGTAAGTGCAATTCTTTTATAACAATAAACGTACTTTTAGAATATCCTACACTATTAGCCTTTATATATTTTACATACCACACTTTGGTGGAGAGTGGAGAGTTTCTGAGGAGCCATAGGATCTGAGTGCTGCTATGCTGTGGGATCGAACCCTATAAGCGTTTTTGGCTTTTCATTAAGTCGAAGGCCCAACTGCTCCGATAATGGCTCATACTTGCCTGTGGTTACCAGAAGCACCTTGGAGTGTCACAGTATCTTCATTCTTGTTGGAAGAGTGGGTCCTCCCTTTTCTTTACTTTATGGAAATACACTTATTGTCATGGACTTTAAATGTGGACATTTATTTGATCACGGTGGACTGTCACTATTTCCTATGTATGTTTATTTCATTTAGCTTTGCACTATTTATATTCCTTGTTATATGTATCCCTATAAAAGGCACTTCCTGTTATACGGTGACAACATTCTGTCCCTGTGTCCCAGCTGTGCTCCTGCATTGTCACCCTGTCCCATGGGCTTCAAATGGAGACTGCAAATGTTGGTTCCAATGCACATTACACAGGCATGATCCACTGTTGTCACCAACAGGAAAGCCAACCTGAAAAATGTCAAGTAGCCATCACCAGAGCGCATATAAATTATTTTCAGTGATAACTAGGTAATAGACAACAGAAGCACAATCCAGCTACTCTCAAATGTCTCAGCTTGGGCTACAACACTGGGCCATGATTGCATAATTTGTTTTCAAACAGACACTCAATTAGAAGCACATGTGACATGGTGACAATGCAGATGCACTACTGGAAGTCAGGAACAGGGGGTTGTCACCCTACGATAGAAAGTACATGAACAAAGAACTTCTTGGTAGGCTCATTAGGTATCATTCTAATGAAAATGTAAAATTTAACAAGATTGAAAATGGTGTTTAAAATGACATTAACATATTAAAAAAAATATAGTTTAGTGACATGGTTAACACTAAAAAGAAACATATTTATTAAGAAAACCAGTTTCCCTTTTAGACATCACAGAGGTGTTTCAGTATTCATATATGAAACTGGTAAATCAAAACTGAGTAGCAAGAAGGGAAGATGAGGGGATTTTACCAAATCGCAGCCCACAGCAAACCTTTCTTATTATTAGGGGCTAGCACTGTATATTTAGTACATGCAAATAACTTTCTTTTTTACGACTCTTGCAAAGAGCTGTGTGTACCTCGGTGGCGTGGGAAGGAGGGTACCATGATAACAATGATGTAATTACATTACAGAGAAAACCATTGCATGAAAAATCAGCTGTCTGTTTTTTATTGTTCTAGACCCAACACCACACTGAACTCATTTCATATTTTCATGTAGATAATGATAAAAAGTCCTCATTTCCCCCATTTAAATTAAACTCCTTTTCCTCAAATATTATAGTTCTAAAACTATTTGGTTTTAGCATTATTTGACAAAAACTCAAAATTCTTTACACAATACACACTTTGTAAGGGTCCTTTCACACGGGTGCCTTCCATTTTGATCAGAAGGGGATCTGTCCAGGGCGGATGACAAGTCCTATTCCACTCAGTTTATGCAGCCTGCTCTGCCCTGCTATGCAGCCTGCTCTACTCTGCTGTCAGTTTACACCCAGCTGCCTCCAAACAGAAAGGATGCAGTCCTCCTAATTTTTTTGCGAGTCTGATCAAACCCGGAGGTAGGCGGGCATAAACAGACATGTCCGTTTACACCCACTGGTCCATAGGAATGCATGTACTCAAACGCTAAATGCACCTGAAAGCGCTTAAACATTTTGGGTGCATTTTTAAGCAGCTTTTCTCTTACCAGGAGAAAAGACGATCAAGGAGCTGAACAAAAGCTCAGTGTGTATGAGACCCTAATGCACTTTTTTTTTTTTAGCATAGAAGAGTGCTAGCTACCAGGGGAACAAGGGAGGAGGTGAGTGTAATTGCTTTTTCTGTTCCCCCTATAGAAATTTTTTTATTTAACTATTGCAGTGCAGGAGGAATCCCACTGTAAGGATCAATTTTTATTTTACCTGAAGTTCAGCTTGAATTATTCACTGTCTTCTTAATAAGACAGCTACCAACTTTTATAAAGTAGAAAGTTGCAGCAGCCAAATCATAAATTGCCTGGACTTATTACAATTATTAAATGTCTTAATTAAATTATGTAAAATATTTAAATAATTACATTTACTTTATTAAATTATTAATAATTCTATTATTCAACTATTGGGTTAGGTTTAATTGGCTCCTGTCCATATTGGCTCTGTGTATATGTTTGAAAGTGAATTAGAGACCTTAGATCACAGGTGTCAAACAAAAGGCCCGCGGGCTGGATCCAGCCCTCCAGGCCATTTCATGTGGCCCTTGCACCTCTCCTGCAGGTACCTCCTTGTCTCCTCCCCCACCTTGTCTCAGCAGTCAACAGCAGAGAGGAGAATAGAACTCCTCTGCCAAATCCTGCACTTCTCCATGCAGCTGCACTCAACTCTCCATCCCCTGGTCTCAGCATTCAGCAGACTCTGGTAACTGACTCCACTCCTCCTCTGGTACTCCTCCAGACCCTGCACTTTCTGCTTTCCAGCTCTGCCCCCAAAGGGGATGCACGGTGATGTAAGGGAGGGTGTGGGATTCTTGACATTTGATGTAATGGGGGTAGGGTACTGTGGACATCTAGTCTTACAGAAACAACCGACCCTTTGAGGGCAATCATAATGCTGATATGGCCCGCGATGAAATGGAGTTTGACACCCCTGCCTTAGATTGTATGCTCATTGAGGGTTAAGAACTGAAGTAAATGTACAATATATGTAAAGCGCTGTGTAAATTGACGGCCTTATAAACTTATCTGTAATAAAATATATTTATTTGTATTAAGTCATTAAACATATTTTATGAAAATATGAAATGTATTGATTTGTATTAAATTATTTGAATTATATTTTATTAAATAATTCAAATTATTAAATGTATTTATTGTTAGTATTAAAATTATTTTATTAAACTATTGCAATTCTTAAATGTATGCACTTTTAGGGATCTACTTTTAGGTGGTATCTGAAAACTTTCCCTTCAGAGAAGCCTATGCTGCCTCCACCTAACAACTGTACTTTATTTTCTCAATCAGCTCATCCCCCACAGTTATTACCTTTTGTATCACTTGACCCTCCCCTTTTACAAGCAGGACCCTCTGATTCCTCCTGTATTGAATTTTATTGTAACTGTACGGTTTTCCCTCCCCTTGTAAAGCACTATGCAAACTGTTGGCGCTACGTAAATCCTGTATAATAATAATAATTTGTATTAAATTTTAATAAATTATAAAATTCATTTTTATTACATTATTCAAATGATTTTATTCAACTATTAAGTTATTAAATGTATTTATTTTTTATTAAATCATTAAAACATTTTCACCAAATTAATAAATGTATTTATTTTAAGTAAGTTATCAAAATTATTGGTTGCTTTGTCTTGCCTTAATAAATAACTGGGCCGCTGAAGCAGGATACAGATGCCTCGGCTTTCCTATATCTCGTCTTTAGTCAGGAGCAGTCAGCACTAATAAAGTATTAGCTGTGAGAGCCAAGCTCAGACATGTCACACTGTATACATCTCCACTTAGTCCTTGGTTTAAAACAATCAAGAGTTTTCTTTCCCCCCCCCCCCCCCCCCCTTTGGAAGAGCAATCAAACTAGGGGGTGGGAGCAGCATATCCTGCGTTCAACCGCATCCTGAACAAGCAAGACCAAGATTTAAAGTAAATAAATATTCTCTTCTTGCAGCACTTCCGTCAACTGTCATTGACTTGGCTCCAGT